CAAAGATTAGAGGGAAATTCTTTGTGGTTTACGGAGCTGGGAACAATACCTGCCACCATCAGCCAGAATGGGAAACCTCTTAATTCACAGGACCTCAGGTAGTCAGAGGGTTTTGCCTTAGGAGTGGAGAAAAATTAGTCCTAACAAGTTTAAAAGTATCAAACTGGTTCTAAGTAATTTAACCCTATCCCAGGACAAAGCTCAAGAAGAGTAACAGGAATATACAAACAGCCAGTACCCAACAAGGTAAAATTCACAAAGACCAACGACAGTTTCTTCTATCTTCTAGAAGAGTTTGTAAAAAATTACAACATCGTTTTCTTCAAGTCTCACAGAACTCATCTGTAAGTCCATCTGGGGCTGACATTTGTTTGTGGGAAGATTTTGAACTCCTTACTGAAATTCTTTAACTGGCCTATATAGTTGCATCTCACTCTGTCACCCAGGCTGGAGTGCAGGGGCATACATATGGCTCGCTGCAGCCTCAACCTCCTGGGCTGAGATGATCCTTCCACCTCAGCCTCCCAAATAACTGGGACTACAGGTGCACACCATCATGCCTGGCTACATTTTTGGATTTTTGTAGAGATGAGGTCCCACCATGTGGCCTAGGCTGGTCTTGAACTCCTGGGCTTAAGCAACCTTCTTGCCTTGGCCTCCCAAAGTGCTGGGATTACAGGCGTGAGTCAAAAATATTCTTAAAGTATACAGGTGAGGGAATTGGGCCTCTGGGTTTAACAGATGGCAGGACTTACTATGAAGTTACAATTACGACAGTGTGATACTGGTACAGGAATAAACGATATGACAAAAGGAACAAGAGAGAGAGCATAGAAACACTCATCCTTGAAGAGAAACTTGATGTTTAAGATCTATTCAGTACATGGGGCCTGAATAACTTATTATCCACAAGGGGAAATATTAGATTCCTACCTTACTTCTTGCACATATACAAACAATTCTCAGAAAATTAAACACCCAAATGTGAAAAGCAAAACTGTCAGCTGTTACAAACAGGTACATTTTACAGTAGAGGGAAATGAACGGTGAGTAAATATAAAAAATTATTGATCTCCATTAAGAGGTCAGGAAAACCCAAGTCAGAACTATGACATACTGTTTTATATATGTCAGACTGACAATAAGAACAAGGGAAATACTGCTCAAGAGATTATCATCATTTTGGAAAATAATTTGGCATTATTTCACAAAGTTAAAAACTGGTAAGCCTTATGACCCAACAAGTCAATTTCTGTGTATAAAATCTCTTGCATATGTGTACCAGTGGACATCCAAGGATGTTTTGGGTAATATTATTTTTATCAGCAAATATTAAAAACCAAATGTCAAGTGATAGGAAAATGTGTTGGGAGCCGGCCTTGGAGGTCCACCTGACTGACAGGGTCCTGGTGGGCCGAAGACCCCGGGCCACAGGGCGAGCCTGAGAAACTGAGGCCCTTCTGTCTTTCACCTTTGCTGTTTGGTACGGCTGAAGAAATTCTGTGCAGTCGTGGAAGAAGAAAATGGCATGTTTATGCGAAGTACTCACACCTAACCTGAGAATGTCATGGTTCATTTTCCCATTTTCCCACTAGGCCACTTGGCCTTTTCTAACATATGCAAGGGTTAAACTCTGAAGCACACCAAGAATGCTTTCTTTCACTTGGTTACAAGTTACTAGATATTGCTTGAATAAAAAATGATATTAGTATATTCACTCTTTATTTGATTTAGAATTATGCAGTTTAGTGTTTAGACATAAAGTTTTATAGATGCACAAGTTTATAGAAAGTTCATTATGAATTCATTATAAGTTCTAACACTTATCTAGGAGTTATATAGGTGATTTATAACACTGTCTTCACAGACTTAGGATAAAGATTAATCGTTAAGGTTTTTACTTAATTCTATAGTTAAATTTTAAGTAGCCGGGCTCGGTGGCTCAGCCTGTAATCCGGCACCTTTGGGAGGCTGAGGTGAGTGGATTGCCCGAGCCCGCGGGTTCGAGACCCACCTGGGCAGCAAGACCTCATCTCTACAATAAATCAAAAAATCAGCTGGGCGTGGTAGTGCGCACCTGTAATTCCGGCTACTTGGAAGGCTGAGGTGGAAGGATTGCCAGAGCCCAGCAGGTCGAGGCTGCAGTGGCCGGGGCGACAGAGTGAGACTCCAACTCAAAAAAAAAAAAAATTTTAAGTAAACGTTTATAGAGTGGGTTTTCACTGAATTCATAATATACTAATTAGATACTTTTATGATAATTAACTAAATACAGAAAGCAACCTTGGGGGCCTGGGAAATGTCATTAAAAGCTGCTTTTGAGTTTTCTTTAGAAATAAACACTGCAGGATAAGAGAAAAGTAACAAAGACACCTGGGCAAGAAAGGCGATTACAAAGCTTTGAAGGTCGTAAAAGCCCAAGAGAAAAACTCCTGCTACATGAAGAACTTTGCACCTGGAAACTTTCTTGAAGCACTTCAAGGACTGTAATTTGGGACTCTGTTGAAGAGAGTTGCTGGCAGTGCTATTCTAGACATGATAATTGTTTTATCCATGTATTAATCGTAATTGGTAAATGTAATATCATACACGTTTATATGATCAATATACATATGCATGAGAGTTGACAAAAATTATTAGGCTCTGGTTATGTTTAACAAGGTTTTTACTTTGAGTCATTAATTAAGTTTTAATGCTATAGTTTATTGTTTTATAGCTACTTTGAAGATTGTTTTAAGTTCATAAGTTTAAGTTCACACAATAATAAAATTGGTGCCTCAAAGATAATAATAATTGCTCAAGTGCCTATCTTAAAACAAAGATGTTTTCCAGGAGGTTGCCAAGCATAAGGAAAAACAGCCAAATCACCATTATCCTAAACTTAAAAGCTCATTAACAATTATGCAACCATAATAATTTTAGTTGTGTTAGTTTTATTTCATTATGTTTAGTTCACTTTATATGTTTATTCAGAGTAAAGATTAGTATATGTATTTTCACAGTAAGTGACTTTCATAGTTATT